TTCATTTCATGTCATTTCATGTCTCGTCACACATGAGTAATACGTGCAGCGAATAATAAGCTCGATTTAACTGTCGGGACAATTGGAAATGAATGGAAATGTCCTCACTTCGATAAATCGACATCATCTTGCCACAAGTTTTTCATTCCTGTCGAGGTCATCCATCTTCCTGTCCGACTTCTGTCCACTTTCCACTCGTGGAACCCTATCCTTCGGTAGTACAGGGCGAGAAATCTTAAACAGCATACCGGGAAATGATGAAAGGACACTGGATATTTCCATTAATATACTTATATATTTTTCACCTTCTAGGATGAATGAAAGCGGCTGAATGGGACGGTGGTGACGTCAATGTAGTGTATCGAGAGTTCCTGATATTTGAACCAGAAGAGCAAAATAAGTGAAGTAAATGTGACCCGATTGTTCATTATGCAGGTCAAGCTGGACCACTAGCGAAAGAGAACGAGAATAAGGAACCATTTTGAATCGACTCCAGTGATTAATTGCTTCTTGAATAATGAGGACAAATCAATAAGATACGATTGGGGTCCACGTCAACGTCAACCCAATACATTGGAAATTATGGAAGTCCATCCACACGCTTTCCTTAGTCGTACTGCCCTTAACAAGGACCTTCTTACGACTATGGATCATGATAGGACCTCGCGACCAGACTAGTTCAGCACCATTTTGGCACTTCTCCTTTTCCATAATGCTTGCTCTTTCCCTTTCCTTCCCTTTTTTGCTGTGCATTCGCGCAAAATATACAAGAATGTGACGGTGGAATGGAAGAAACAGAGTATCGAGTCTTGCAGCGCATATTGTGTGTTCCAGTACCCTAATCCCTGCTACGGTTTCAACTACAGATGAACCAACGATTCGTGCCAGCTATACACGGGAACGGCTCCCTCGTTGAAGGCGAAGAGTACCAGTCTTGCGTTCGGTGTGACTTGAAGACTTTGCAGTTTCCTCTTGGCGGATTTAGAGACATGATCCTCATCTTACATTCCTAAAACATGGTTGTCCATGAGGGAGCCCCGTATGATCCATAATGCCCTGACCGCCTATGATGGTTGGAACGGAACTTTTCCAGCACTAGAAAGAGGTATGGTAACGCATCGTTGTGAGATCCCATCGGTGCGTCTTACCGTATGCTTCCTCTGACGCCATTTGGCCATTGGCGTATCTGTAGGAGCCTAACAATATTCATAACTAGCGAGTTTGTTTGCCCGAAGGGCAAGCAAACATATATGACATATGGGGGCGAAAGTCTTGATTTTTAACAAACTCTTTACTTCTATGATTTTATGTGTGCCTAACTTTAAATCCTTTCTCCTGTCCCTCTTAATAAGGGTGGAGAATACATTTTGAAATATTGAATACTTGCCTCCAATAATCTACGCAAAGGAGACATATTTCAAAAGTTTTTTCTTTACTCAGCCATTAAACATGAATTCTGAGGGAAGTTTAGATCTGTATCTGTTTCGTTGGATCAAAAAATGTGCAGGAGTGAAAAGAGCAATGAAGGGTTTTAGCGAAACTTCTTTTTTCTTCTGAAATGGAGACTCAGGGAGCTGCATCCCACCCAGTTTCAGCCTTATGCTTTTCCCTTTTCGAATTAGCGTCAGTCAGTCAGTGACGATCGTCTATATATATTATGAATGTGGCATTTTTTATACGCGTGCAAAGTTTCACCTTTCCATATCTGTCCAATTCGCCGCGACAATTTTTTTTCAAACCATCGCACCTCCGAAAAATTCCCCCAGGGGATGTATCAAGACTTGACGTTTTTATTTAACTCCTCGTATGAGTTGTCACATTCATGCAAAGTTTCAGCTTTCCATGTTTATTAGTTTAATGCAAAAAAATAGTTCAAAACATATCCCTTTGAAATTTGTGCCCCCAGTGCATTTACTTCCAATGTCAGAAGTTTTCTGCAGCATCCCAATAGGTAGTTATGTTCCAAGGTTTATCTTTCCACACATGCTCAATACGCCAGGCCAAAAAAATACTTGAAAACGTCAGCTCCTGAAAATATGCCCACAGGGCATGGACCTAAAATGTTACATGTTTCCTAAACTCATCGTGTCGGCAGGCACTCCATACCAAAGTTTCAGCTTTCCATATCCCTCCGTTTTACTCAAGTAAAAATAATGCTATGGAGGGGGAATGAGTAACAGGACATGGAAGAGAAAAAAGCCAAAAGAGCGCCAAGAAAAGGCCGGGAATTGAACCTGCACTTTCTGATTGCAAGTCAGATATGCTGCTACTAAACCACCGAACCTAGAACAAGCAATGGATTGTCTGAATGCTATCCGCATCTGTCATAAAATATATTCATGAAAAACGTTTCTCCCAAAAATTCCCATGGCATGAACCTCCAAATTCGGATTTTTTCTGAACTTTGACTCCCAAAAGGTACATATGTACCAAGTTTCACATTTCTAGCCCAGCTAGAACATGGTTAGAATTTGCGTCAGTCCGTCAGTCAACATCGTCTATATATATTACATTTTTCTTGAAAAGTTTTTCTTGGGTGAAATACATTATTTTTTGTACAAGTGGTTGCACACCGGTGTGCACGTCAACGTGACGCGAGTAAGGTTTAGCAGTGCCTTTATATTTGATATTTGATAAAAGAAATACCAAATTATGCACTTATTAGCACTGACAACTAATATGAACCAAAAGAAGAAAATGCTTTTCTCACGGAAAAATTAGCAGAGAATTCCAATATCAAATATCCCAGTGCGTGCGAAAATTGCTGCGTGTAACGAAGAAAGTAAGCGTTTCCCATTAAAAGTGAGTAGATGCCTGAGTGTGCTGCAGAAAATTCCAACGCCTCCATGTAAAGGGCTGAATGTGCCGCAAAGGAAATAGGTTGAGAACCACTGGTTCATACTGTCGATTCAAAATGATTGCACATTCGTTTTCCATCCGACGTATTGGGCTCAAACATTCAAACCAAAACCACTCGTCCAAAACGGCAGTTCTGATTATCCGTCTTTTGTCGCGATTAAGGCAGAAGGAGAGCCCATGCACTTCGGGAGGTTAGCTATTTTTCGCACCGCCTCCTTCCCTCACATTGACTGCCTTCTTTGCCTTTCTTTCAATGACAACCAACGACGACAAACAACACCCGATCATGCCAACGCCTTGAGGAAAGGGCATCTTATCCCGGTATGTGATGCCCGGACGGAAGTTTCCGCACCGGTCAGAAATATGAAAAGTTTCAGAAATGTACGCCCGTGGCAGTGAAATATACTGACGAACAAGCTGGTACACGTGAAACATACGCGCCATCGTATTTCAGGTTAATCGACATCCCATTCGACACAACAACTTTGGGTCAACGTTGAAAAAAGGTTGATGGCAATGTTGCCTCAATGTTCAGAAAAGGTTGACTTTTCAACGTATCCTGTTGCCATATGTTGCCACCATTTTGAAATGAAACACAGCTCAACGTATAATAGTTGATGCTGTGCGACGTCGTGTCAACAATGATTGTCAACGTACGGGCATTATAGTACCTCCTCCCTATTCCAGAGTCTGAATGAGCTTTAATTATCGCATGAAATTGAATATGGACTCGATAACTCCATGGATGGTCCCCAAGTAGTATGATACTGGCAGGACTCTACCCAGTACAATCATCCCACGTAAGGCACCCTCAACGTTTTACATCCTCCACTGAATCAGAATTCACATTGAACACTTACATGACTCAATCCTCTCGGTTCAGTAGAGGAAAACAGCCTCGCGGGCATGGTTTCCATACTTTGTCCATTATGGATGAGCTTGAGGAAAGGCGCGTGTCATGTGGAGATTTAGGAAAATTGAGTGTGTCTCCTCGGACCCACTAACCAGAAGTGCTTTGGGTCTCCTGCCTGATTACCTCTTTAAACGTGTCTATCGAGTAATTCCTATACCTTCCCCTATGCTGTAAATAGGAAAGATCGGGTACTGGATGAAAAATGCAGGGTACTGTTTATTTCAAGGCATCACGGTAAGAATCGCCGAATCGGCGGTCAGGTGCCATCTCGCGTCGATTCGTAGAACCCATTTTCTGTCGATATGACGTGGATAACTCCACCTAAAAACAACATTGAGAAAACGATGTAAGTTTTTTTCTCATAATGGCCTCTGAACGACTTCCCTAAGTCACAAGCAGTCACCAAATGCTGAAAATACAGTTAATTATGAATAGTTAGCATTTAATCGATGTTAATCTTTCGTCGAATTCTCAACTTCAACCAAGTCCCAACGTTTCAACCTATTTTCAATGTTGATACAACGTTGTTGTGCCGAATGGGTTCTGTCTCATAGCTTTAAAATGAAACAACTGGAATTTTGAAAGACCAAATTTCGGAGCAATAATATTGGGTGCGTCACGTTATAACGCCCCCCCCCCCCGGCCTTGCCCCAAGTCCCAGAGTTTTCCTATACACCAAATGTCAACAGGTTCGGTTCAATAATATTCAAATGAGACACACTGTACGAATTTTGAACTCTCGTGTATCAGATGAAGAAGTGTCGATGCTTCCCATCCTCAGAGAACCCATATTTACCTTTATAGCCATTTGTAAGTTAGTTCTGTCTCAGAGGCTTCGAATAGGATGACGTTGTTATTTGAAACTGCGTAGCTTTGGGTCAATATTGTCCGCGTTGCGTCATCAAGGAAAATTCGATTGCAATTTTGCACATTTTCAGCGAGTTCCGCCACGGAACATTCAATTTCAGCTCGATCCGCAATCGAGATTCCTATCAGGTGCGGCGAATAACGCTACCAGAAGGGTCTTTTGCTCCGACTGCTTTTAGCTGCTGGGAAATAGGACACTTCGTTCCATCAGCGCTCAATGCGATCATGTCATATTGATCTGCTTAGAATGAAACCTTTTTACACACATATATGAAACTTCCAAGTTCAATTGAGCATGCTTCCTTTCCGTGAACTCTCAGTGCAAAATGTGAAAATTGATTTTTCATCAATACAATTTATTTCAAGTATGATATTTAAACTGATGAGCTTCAACGTGGGATCTGCGTTGAATTACACACTTCTGCTTTCGTTCTTTGATGGCGGAAAACACTCTCCAGGAGGCTTTCTTGAAGTTTGGATCCCATCGGATGTTCTGGCTGGCAACGTCAATAGCTTGTTTCAGGCCTTCCGGGTCAAGGAAGGGCATTGAGAGATTGGAGATTCGACTAACTTCCTGCCGTGAAAATTGAACATTTTTCCAGAAAAGGCAGATACGGAAAGTTTAAATGTCGTATAGAAGGATTACTACTAAATATTATTTCAGGGAAAATTCTACTCTCGGGGTATTGTACTTCAGAAGTTTACGTCCCCTCGGGGCATAGATTTCTACTTGGGGACATTTTCAAGAAAAACATTCATCCACGTTGGTTCGGGCAGCTCGAAAAAGCTGGAATATGGTACCAAACATTTGTTAGAACAATACTTTTAGGGAAAGATGCTGTTAGGAGAGAGAATGCATAGAATGCATCAAAGAGGTGATTACTCATGAGGGACTCAATAAGAAACATATATGAACATTTCAAGCATGCACCAAGCCCACACATTCAGGCCAAATAGTCGTGTTTCCAATTGCTATCGGCAGGCGCTGGATGCCATAAAGAGACAACCTGGTTTGTTCTTTGAAATAGCACGCCATTCCTTCCACGCTGAATCTCTGAATTCTCGATTGTCACTCTAAGGTGAAGTGTCTATTCTAGAAACGTGGAAATGATATGATAAGACCTCCTCAACAATAATGGAAGGCATTTGTTTCCTCACCTGGCACTTGGTCAAAGAGAGCAAACAAAAATTATCTTATCATTCCCATGCACTCAAAATAGAAAAAAAATTAAGCAAATGCTGGAAGGCTGACTCGTTCATCTCAGAATTAGCGTTATTTATTGGACTTATCTCTTGCAGATACTCAACTGAAAAGAAGAATTCAATAAAAAGGAATAGTTTATTTGCTTCTCAGCGTACAGGAGGTGTGGAAGAATTGTAGTTTACTAGGAAATTGGAGCAATTCAGCCGATACACTTTCAAAGGAATCTGGTCTCCAGCTCATCAATTCCATGAGACGATTGACATTGCCTCTAAAGTTGAAAACTCCAGGAAAATCTTAATTCAGTTGTAAACTTCGCTGTTCCTGAGAGGGTGCTCGTGAGGAAACTTGAATGTTCATGAGCGGTGTTTCGGGTGTTCGTCTCAGTTGCGATATTTCCTGCTAAAACCGATTTGTGAAAGAGCCTATAACCCCTTAAAGAGGATATTTTATTCATTTACATTATTATTCTGGTAGGTGTCCAAGTCCGTATAATGATATTCTAACGACCTGCGATCAAATAGTTCCGTTGTGATCAGCTTGTTTGCAAACGATTCCTATAAGGGGACGTCGTATTATACATCACGTTCCAAAAGAAACTACCTACTATTTGTTAGAGCATAGCTCCTACTCAAACTCACGTAAAAGAATGATTTTTGGTGTGCGCATTCTAGGGAAATGAGGAAGTGATTGTAGTTAGGATGGCTGCAAGATCTCAACCTAGCATTGAAGAAATTATTGTTGAAAATTGCTTCATCGAACCAAATGACTTGATCTAGCAACAATTGTCCAGAACACTTCACAAAATTCAATCCTATTTGTGTCTTCATCTGATAGGGGTTGATGCGTATGAGCCAAATTGGTTTTCGACATAAGTATCCTAAAATGCACAAAACTGTTGACTGAGTCGCATCCAATTCCCGTGACAAACTGCTGTTTTTGGTCTCATCTTGACTGTCTCAGAAATGACTTTGACTCGTTCCTCTGTGCGACCAGCTCTTGGCCTACCACTTCCTCCAGCATTAAGGACTTCATCGGTGGTATCAAACCAATAGCAGCAGTGTTTTTCAGATCTGGGATACAAAGCGCAAAACTTTTCTGGAACAGATGCCGACTTTCTTCACCATTTTCTTTCTTAGCGTACCATTTCACTATTTGTGTCATTTCTTCAATTCTGGGTCGAGATCTCCCGGCCATCCTTTCTAAAATAACTTTCCCATTTCCCTAGAATACGCACACCAAAAAATGATCACTGTACGTGAATTTGATCAGGAGCTTAGGCCTACACTGACAGGCAGTTGGTAGTTTCTTTTGAAACACTCAGTATACGTAGCATAAAAAACCAAAGGAATTTGGGACCATTCCATTACACTATGGAGGTGTTTACACTTGGTAATTTATTTCCATAAGGGAGGGAACTTTTTCTTTGTTTTATAACTGAATTCCTATGTAAACCATGTGTGTTTTCTTTATTAGAATTGTCAACATTATAGATTACCAATATGGAAGCAGTAACCAAACGATCTACGAGGGCGTTTCAATAAACAACTTGAGAAGAGCATTAACATACATGGAGGAATTGTTTGGGATAAGTTTAATCCAGCGATCTGCCTGGTGATTCTCACCGTACAGTGTGCCATATGAATACGACGTCAGAATGACTTATTGACAGCCAGAAATCAGAATGAAAAATCAATGCATTTATTTATTCTTTTCTCTATACACTGGTAACCGCGCGAAACAAAATGATTAGAACCGGAGAGTCCATTTGTCTGAGGAGTCCGGTTTAAGTGTCTGCTCTCTAACTGGTGCCCTGAGGGCGAACGATCGTCCATGTGGGGTTCTTGGTTTCACCAGCCAGTGGACTACTGGGACTCCTGAAAGTGTAAAGGAAAAAAATTGTTAGTACTACCGGAATGACATTAATTTTTGTGTCGTGGAAATGAAACTCACGTAGTAATCTGGTGATGAAGACTGGGAATCAAAACCCATATGGCAAGGTGGAGAAATCGGGTTGAAGGACTCGCTTGTCGTATACCACCTGATACCTTTTACTCTCTTCTTTCGTGATGAGCTTCTTCCCTCTCTTGTCACGAGTAATTTTTTTAGGGTTAATGACGGCAACTTGCTCTTCCTCGTAGATCTTTTGCCTCTTGGCTTCCGCCTTCATAGGTTGGAAGGTCGATACGAGGCGATGCATTGTGTCAAATGTGATCCTTTTTGTGGACGAGTAGTTGAGGGTGAAACCACGGACTTTGAGGCACTCCTTCCCGCGTGAAGTCCTATAAGCATAATTTTTCGGGCCTCCGGAAATGAAATTTACGATGTGGTCACCCTCCAACTCATCAGTGAAATCTCCGAGGAAGTCACCGAGGGGCGAATCGTTTTTGCCATCACTGACATAAATTACTGAATCGGTATCATAATATAATACATCTTTGCCCTGCTGCTGAAGGGTAGAATACAGCTTCAACCGGGCATGGCATGTAGTGAAGGCTGCAATGAATAAATTGGTCGTAGATTGCTGTGGCATATGTTCCTCTTTGTAGGCCCACGTAATCTCCATAACCGACTCATTAATGACGTTCATCCCATTGATGTTAATATTGAGGTCGGCTAGGAAGCGGTTCATCTCGGGGGTGCTCTTCACAAAGGTCGTTTGGCTCAAGTTCTCACGCATGCCAAACCGCCCCCAGAACGAGTTCAGAGCCAATTTTGCGACTGCTCGCAATCCGGGATTTTTAGTCACTTTTTGTTTCTCGAGCTGAATACCCTCGTGATCCTCGTAACATCTGATGTATTCATCCATTTCTATGGTAGTTGAATATCCAGTTGGCCAGCCACTAGCTTCTTGTTTGATTTTTAGGAATGTGTCAATGTAGGCTCTGAACAAATTTTTGGATGTTTTGGGAAAATGATAAACTTCGTGTGCCTTCAAAATGACGTAGCCCATCTCCACGGCCTTTTTCACTTCTTCAGTTACCCATACTCCTCGTATGGCCCTCTCTTCGTTGGCATGCCGACACCGTTCCTGCTGTATGTTGTCAGCGCAAGTCCGGCAGAGTGGAAAGGGGAGTTTCTTATTGCTCCGATATGGAAGCACAGGGTGATAGAGACCTCTAGGAGGGAGAATTAGGCATTTGATGAAACCAAAGTAGACACTGATGTCTTGAAAGTCCCTTGTAATGATGGCAGGGTGGCCTACAGGATACTCACAGTATTTGTTCGTATATGGAAAGAGAGATGTGNGACAGGGTGGCCTACAGGATACTCACAGTATTTGTTCGTGTATGGATAGAGAGATGTGAAGTCAATATATTTGACTTTCTCATTTCCCTTCACTTCATACTTCAATACAGCTGCATTGGTTCTCCCTCCATAGAAGGCCTCCCGACAAACAAGTCGGGACACGACTTAATAGAGACCTCTAGGAGGGAGAATTAGGCATTTGATGAAACCAAAGTAGACACTGATGTCTTGAAAGTCCCTTGTAATGATGGCAGGGTGGCCTACAGGATACTCACAGTATTTGTTCGTATATGGAAAGAGAGATGTGAAGTCAATATATTTGACTTTCTCATTTCCCTTCACTTTATACTTCAATACAGCTGCGTTGGTTCTCCCTCCATAAAAGGCCTCCCGACAAACAAGTCGGGACACGACTTCATGTCGTGCCAGAAACTGCTTCACGGCATTTTCCTTCTTCTTTTCCCTCCACTCACACTCCCCGATGCTGACAACCTTGAAACCCATCCTTTCCAATTTCCTCTCTCTCTCTCTTCTGTCCTCAGAAATAAAGTTTCCATGGAAAGCTGCTTGATGGGGTGAATGAATTCATGATCGTAGCAGCGCTGACATCCATGGAAGAAGCAACCATGAATCTCGAAGATGCTCCGAGATTCCATATGAAAGCCACTCTAAAGGATCCTTTTTTCTTTTCACCGTCTGGATGGTTCAGCGCGCGCCTAATTTTGATATGCTGGTCGTGTGGGATGAAGTCTACCCATTCGATGCTGGCCTTTGAGAAAGATTCTAGGTGATAACCGTGGGAAGGAACCATGGCTATCGTATCAGGCTTGATGAAATGATGATTAAAAATGGCGTGGCAGATCGATGCTATTGTCACATATTGGAAAGGGTCGCAACCAGCCACCTGAAGTAGAAGATCTCGGAACTTGAGACATGCCCTCCTCAAAATGTCAACATCAGAACGACAATACTTTTCCATCTCATTCTGAAGATGTAACCCTCATTTTTCTTCTCTTGATGCCACTCCAAAAATTTTTTCTCTCATGGGATGACATAGAATCACATCCATAGGCCTCAGGAGGTGGAATAGGGCCTACGTAATGTTGATGCTCACGATCATTCATGAAATGAGGAAAATATCCCTTACAGATTGCTTCCAGGGTGAAGGTAGACGGGAGTTTCGATAATGACATGGGTAGGAAATTGTAGGAATCAATAATCCTGATTTTGTAAGAAGGTACCTCAAGGGACATGATTTTGGCTCCGTTCATTATCACTTTGGGTGTCAGTCCATACTTCAGAAGGTATGAGAGAATAAAATATCCATCGTAGGATTTCATACAGTGGGCAAATGCTGTAAATCCCTTGTGTCTCCTTTGAAAGAGCCACTCCCCGAATTTCTTTTCAGTGTCATAACCGGAAAATATGACTTCCTTGCCATCGGCGTACTGTGCAATACAGTAATTTGCTGTATGTATTCCACCCTCCGACTGATCGGCTTCAAAATCGAAAAATATGTATTTTCCTGAAGGATGCTTCATATCCTTCCGTGCATGATGATAGAGATGACTGGAATCAACCGGTTTTTTTACAACCCTTCCAGACATGGTCACCACATCGATGTTTATCCCGAAGGATTTGTTTGGTCTCGAAAATGCGATGACAGTCACCGCAGTACCAACTCCTGTTGCATGTTGCTGCATGTTCCTCCGTGCAAACCGTATTTCTACAAAATTTCCTGCAGAGAGGGCAAAAGAAGCGGATTCATCTTTTCGGCATTCATCCCTCCCGCACGTGCTGCAGTGCTGTTCGCAGTGATGCTCCCACCTCTTCTCATATCATTTATCACAATTGTGACAATAAAATTTACTACCGGTGAACCCTGCCATTGATGTGATAACATCATAATGATGCTCACCATCCTCGCCCTCTCGTCTCCAGAGATAAATCTTTATCTCTCTTTCGGGACTGCGATAAGAAATCTTGTTCCCGTCATAGAGGTTGATGATATTTATTTGGATTCTTAAATGGTCCTCAAACTGCCGAGCCTCCATGATTCCGCATTTTCCGAGGGGTACGCCTGCTTCCTCGTGAAGATCTTGAGCTGGTTTTTTCTGCATAGGGCGTCGCGAGTCACAAATATATTTGGTTTGAGGGTCATTAGTGACTTTAGCATGCGCTACAACGGCCATACAGATTTCGTCGTCATTTTTTATTTGGATGATTGATTTTTTTAGCTTCATGTCTTCATCTGGATTGACTATCCGAAATCCTGTGCCTCCTTGAGGATCACGAACTAGCAAAAAATCCAGAGTGAATGATCCATCCAACTTGATTTCTTTGTTGGACTTGATATGCTTTGTGATCGTGGTCAGGATCAGTTCAGGACTCATGTCCTGAACCCTGACTGATTGAGAGGAAGAGGGATTCCATGATAGATGAGATGGGTGATCCTGAGAATTCGCTTTCTTCGAAGCGAGCTCGAAACACTCTCTGGAGTGCATTAAATCGTTTGAAATTATTTCCAATTTCTTCGATGGTGAATTCGATGCTTGGGGCTCGATCATCGTCAATATTATGCTCATCGTCACTCTCGCGTCGTCTTCTCTGTCCTCGCCCTTCCATGTTTTCCAGATCACGGAAGAGTTGAGGGTCCTCCTCACATATGTGAATAGCCCCCCACTCCACCTCATCAAAGATATCCAGATCCTGACTGGAAAACTCGGGCAGGAATTCGTCCGACATGGTGAACTAAATTTTAAAAGAAAGAACCGAGCCGAACTGAAAATTATTTCGTACACAAAGGAACTGACACGACATACGGTATGCAAGATGAAACCGAAAGCCGCGAGTACAAAAGCTAGCGAGAATTTTAAGTGAATACCAAAGTTTCGTTATTTTTTTCCTCTGGAAATTATTATCTGACTAACGCCTGACAACGCTTGAAGAGTTCATATAAGGTGTAAAAAGAAGAAAAAAAAATGCAAGCAAAAAAAACTCACATTTACGTCGTCGAAATGGTTTGAAGAACCAAACTGGAAGCACACTCGTTGGACCTAAGAGCACCGATGAATGTGAGATTCAACTTAAGACTGTCTCAGCATAGCAATGCATTTTTATACTTGAGGACATGTTTTTTGTTTTCGCTGTTTTCCGTTTTTATCATCCTTAAACACAATTCCTTTATTGTCTCCTCTCAAAATACAAATACAATAAGATATATTGTTTTCCTCTTTCTTTTGATGTTCAACCATTCTAAAAATCTGCACATTTCAGCCGTTATTTTTCCGTTTTACGGTGCCTGCTCATCCTTGAAACACGATTCCTTTATTGTCTTCTCCCAAAATACAGATACAATAAGATGCTTTTCTCTTTCTTTTGAGGTTCAATCATGATAAAAATCTGTCTTTTTCAATTTGTAATCTCTTTACTTGCTTTGAAAAATATTTTTGAAGAACGTATATTAACTGCTATGGAAGATTTCATCAAAACAGGCTGTTATTGTTTTGCTCAAAAAAAAGAGGACAATTGTGGTTATTTGCGAGAGGGATGTGGGAGAAAATGTCTCAGAAGGGGGAGGGAAATTCAGGGAGTTTACATCCCTCTCGCTTCAGTTCAGAGTCGGACGCCACGCGTTGGAGAGCAAGCATTGTGACTACTACCATGACCACGAGTGAATCCACTTCCATCTTTTCTCCATCTCGCCCGCTGTAAGTAACTGACATTCTCTCATCTCTTTCCTGCCAGACTTTCACATGTGCTCCAACTAAAATCCTAATGTTGTCCTCAGATCTCGGACACTGCCCGTCACGGACGATAAGGTTTTACGGACCAGTGTAGAGTATGACGGGGAAATCATCATCTATTTCGGAAGCCGCACTCAACCACACAGAGGTGTTTTCATGCTTCAAGGGACATGGGAGGAAATGGAAGAAATTATCAAGTCTCTTGGTTTTATGAGACTGACTGATCCGTACAGATTGGAGGGGACAGACATTTACTTACAAGAGGTCTACCAGAATCAAATGGTGTTAGACATTAGAAAACGGAGGCATGGAAAAGACGCCAATTATCATATCCTCCATCACACTCATCAGGGTGTGACACTCCAGATTTCGACAATTCGAAGGAATCTCGTTGCACTTCTTCCAAAAATGCGGGACGTCATCAAGGAACTTTTGAGTGCTTCCATAACTTTGAATACCGTGAAGGATGTGCTATTACGAATGGTTACTGATGACAGAACAAGGTCTTGGTGCGATGGATGTGAAATCGACGACCCGTCTCAGTTTCATCATGAATGTCTCACGCTTGGACCAGATCTTTTCAATCCACTCTTCCAATCCTGGTNGATGTGAAATCGACGACCCGTCTCAGTTTCATCATGAATGTCTCACGCTTGGACCAGATCTTTTCAATCCACTCTTCCAATCCTGGTCGGAGTGGGTGAATTTCAGGGTGATGTCCAGACTTGAAGACATAAATATTGATGAACTGATTCAGAGAGTGCAGGAGCGCTTTTCCACGTCGGAATCACTCATAAAAGAATCCCTGGAGTTTTTACGGAAAAATGTAGAAAAATTCGCCAGAAAAACGGAATAATTTCTCCTGAAGAAGGATTCTTACGTTCTGCCAGGAGAGGTTGTGACGGTAGAATAAATGAGTGATTGAGTTTGTATTTTTGCCAATGAAAGAAAGTGTAAAATTTGAAAGTGTACACGAGGAATAATTATTGTATATACTGTTCTTTTACATGAATAAAGGGAGTGCAATTTCAACTTGTCAAGAAAAAGTTTCATTGAATATAGTGAAAGACGAAGACAAAAAACACAAACATGCAAACAGAAATGGACATAAAAAATTTTAAGTGGAAACTTCTGCAAGAGGAAAAATTATGGAATAACAGTCAAAAGATGGGAGGAAATTGTCGAAAACATTCTTGCGAAATAAAATTCTTTGAATAAAAAAATTGCCACATGGAAGGAAAAAAGGTGAGAACAAGAAATTTTCTTCTAAATAAAAAATTCTAATGCTTAAAAAAAATGTAAATGCACAATAACAAAAAAATCCCCCCCAGGAAAATATGCAGAAAAATAACTATATCAGACAGAAACTTTGATAAAGAAATCAAGAGAGCATGTCAAATGGTGTCCACGTTTGACGTCCTTCTGAAGTTTGTGACATTCCTGAGCGCGAACTTGGAGAAGAAGAAACTTGAGCTTTCATCTGTTGAAGTCGCTTCTTATTTTTTATTGCCGTTTCAGAGACGTTGATGTCCTTCAGTGCGGTGTAAAACTCTTGAGATCCTCTAGGTGCTTTCTTTCCTCTCGCATTGACGGCGTCATAAACGAGATCCAGGATGTTGGTATTAGGAACGGTTTTATTTTTTATTACTAAGCGTCCCATGTCATCCCAAGATATTTTGGAAGGATGCATTTTCATTCTCTGCATGATTGATGCCGCTGCCCGTTTCATGTTTTGGGGAACGAAGGACAGAATTTCTTCTTCAAAGTCTGCACTCGATATTGGAGTTTCGTTTTCATTCTCCTCTGTGTCTGATGATTCGGGATGTCCTGTACCAGTGCTTCGTTCTCCTTTCGCCTGATCATGGTATACTATGAACCGAGAGAGAGCATGCTGGTATAACTTCGCCTTTTGTGCGTCATCGATGTCATTCCGTTGTAGAATGCTTTNATCTTGTTCCCGTCATGGAGGTTCATGATATTTATTTGGATTCTTAAATGGTCCTCAAACTGCCGAGCCTCCATGATTCCGCATTTTCCGAGGGGTACCCCTGCGTCCTCGTGAAGATCTTGAGCTAGTTTCTTCTGCATAGGGCGTCGCGAGTCACAAATATATTTAGTTTGAGGGTTATTAGTGACTTTAGCATGCGCTACAACGATAGCCGTGGCCATACAGATTTCATCGTCTTTTTTCATTTACGATTCCTTTATTGTCTCCTCTCAAAATACAGATACAATAATAATTTCTTTTGAGGTTCAATCATGGTAAAAATCTGTCTTTTTCAATGTTTATTCTCTTTACTTGCTTTGAAAAATATTTTTGAAGAATGGGATATTAACTGCTATGGAAAATTCCAGCAAAACAGGCTGTTATTGTTTTTTTCCAAAAAGAGGACAATAACGGTTATTTGCTAGAGGGATGTGTGAGAAATTTTCTCGGAAGGGGAGGGAAATTCAGGGAGTTTACGTACCTCTCGCTTCAGTTCAGAGTCGGACGCCACACGTTGGAGAGCAAGCATCTGTGACTACCACCATGACCACGAGTGAATCCACTTCCATCTTTTTCCCATCTCGCCCGCTGTAAGTAACTGACTTTCTCTCATCTCTTTCCTGCCAGACGTTCACATGTGCTCCAACTAAAATCCTAATGTTGTCCTCAGATTTCGGACACTGACAGTCACGGACGATAAGGTTTTACGGACCAGAGTAGAGTACGACGGGGAAATCATCATCTATTTCGGAAGCCGCACTCAACCCCACAGAGGTGTTTTCATGATTCAAGGGATATGGGAGGAAATGGAAGATATTATCAAGTCTCTTGGTTCTATGAGACTGACTGATCCGTGCAGATTGGAGGGGACAGACATTTACTTGCAAGAGAAGGTCTACCAGAATCAAATGGTGTTGGACATTAGAAAACGGAGGCATGGAAAAGATGAGAATTATCATATCCTCCATCACACCCATCAGGGTGTGACGCTCAAGATGTCGACAATTCGAAGGAATCTCATAGCACTTTTTCCAAAAATGCGGGACGTCATCAAGGAACTTTTGAATGCTTCCATAACTTTGAATACCGTGAAGGATGTGCTATTACGAATGGTTACTGATGACAGAACAAGGTCTTGGTGCGATGGATGTGAAATCGACGACCCGTCTCAGTTTCATCATGAATGTCTCACGCTTGGACCAGATCTTTTCAATCCACTCTTCCAATCCTGGTCGGAGTGGGTGAATTTCAGGGTGATGTCCAGACTTGAAGATATAAATATTGATGAACTGATTCAGAGAGTGCAGGAGCAGATGTGAAATCGACGACCCGTCTCAGTTTCATCATGAATGTCTCACGCTTGGACCAGATCTTTTCAATCCTCTCTTCCAATCCTGGTCGGAGTGGGTGAATTTCAGGGTGATGTCCAGACTTGAAGATATAAATATTGATGAACTGATTCAGAAAGTGCAGGAGCGCTTTTCTACAACGGAATCGCTCATAAAAGAATCCCTGGAGTTTTTACAGAAAAATGTAGAAAAATTCGCCAGAGAAACCGAAGAATTTCTCTTGAAGAAGGATTCTTACGTTCTGCCAGGTGAGGTTGTGACGGTAGAATAAATGAGTGATTGAGTTTGTATTTTTGCCAATGAAAGAAAGTGTGAAATTTGCATGTGTACACGAGGAATAATTATTGTATGTGCTTTTCTTTAACATAAATAAAGAGAGTGCAATTTCAACTTGTCAAGAAAACGTTTCATTGAATACAGTGAAAGACAAAGACACAAACAAAACATGCAAACAGAAATAGACAATAAAAATAATAATAAAAATAATAAAAATTTTAAGTGGAAACTTCTGCAAGAGAAAAAATTATGGAATAACACAGTCAAAAGATGGGGGGACATTGTCGAAAACATTCTTGCAAAATAAAATTCTTTGAAGAAAAAAAATTCCCACATGAAAGGAAAAAAAGTGAGAACAAAAAATTTTCTTCTAAACAAAAAAATTATAACGCTTAAAAAAGTAAACGCACAAGAACAAAAAATCCCCTCCCAGGAAAACCTGCAGAAAAGTAACTATATCAGACAGAAACTTTGATAAAGAAATCAAGAGAGCATGTCAATATGGTGTCCACGTTTGACGTCCTTCTGAAGTTTGTGACGTTCCTGAGCGCGAACTTGGAGAAGAAACTTGAGCTTTCATCTGTTGAAGTCGCTTCTTATTTTTTATTGCCGTTTCAGAGACGTTGATGTCCTTCAGTGCGGTGTAAAACTCTTGAGATCCTCTAGGTGCTTTCTTTCCTCTCGCATTGACGGCGTCATAAACGAGATCCAGGATGTTGGTATTAGGAACGGTTTTATTTTTAATTACTAAGCGTCCCATGTCATCCCAAGATATTTTGGAAGGATGCATTTTCATTCTCTGCATGATAGATGCCGCTGCCCGTTTCATGTTTTGGGGAACGAAGGACAGAATTTCTTCTTCAAAGTCTGCACTCGATATTGGAGTCTCGTTTTCATTCTCATCATTGTCTGATGATTCGGGATGTCCTGTACCGGTGCTTCGTTCTCCTTTCGCCTGATCATGGTATACTATGAACTGAGAGAGAGCATGCTGGTATAACTTCGCCTTTTGTGCTTCATCGATGTCATTCCGTTGTAGAATGCTTTCCATCTCTCCGTCCAAAGCTGTTAGTTTTTTCACGGTAGGAGGAGTAAGCAACTGTTGTTGCTTGTAAGCATTTAACATATCTTCAGAGACGAGCAGCATTTTTTTGGCCATGGCTACAGACCCGCGGCTTTACCTATGGCCCTCCCTGCCAATCCACCGAGGACGGATAAAATCGGCCCTAGAACGAACGGCAGGAAACCTCCTTTTAGTTTTAGTAATCTCTTCTTCTTCTTAATGCCCACTCTCTTGTCCACGAGATCTTCGAGCACTTTCTTGTATGGACGCAACTTGGGCAACTGATGAGGTGGCAAGGCGACATTCTCGTTAAGTACATTCAGGATGCACTCGCAAATTGCTTTGATTTGCTCCTTTTCGGCCGTCTCGATATTCGCTTTCCTCTGCTTTGGCTTGCATTTCGAAAGGAGTTCCAGATACCCCTTATGCTTGAACACCTTTTGACTCGGCGAGGACGTCATTTAGGCACAAAAACGATAGTTTGCTCGTAGGGAAGCACGGTGCTGGCATCAGCTTTGACCAGACTCCAGCTGACAAAATTTAGGTGTTTATTTATGGGCATACCTTGAAGACACCGGACAGCTTTGCGTAGAACGTACTTCGGCTGTAAAGGCCCCATGTAGACGATTGCCAAATGTGTGATCTGAGATGCGTCGCGGGGATTTTTGAAGAGAATCATGTAATGAGAATTGAGACTCATGGTCCGAAGTTCTCTAGTCTGATAAAACAGATTCTGTAGAATGAGAATCACGGACGACAAGAACACCACCGAAGGAAATCATTTGTCCAAGCAGTAGAGGAATAGCAAGAAATACAGTCAGTACTCTAGCAGATAATACTCGTTCAAAGAAAAGACTCCCAGCTAGCGTAGGTCAGACTCAGGATCTACGAGTTTTACACTAGGAGGAAGTTTTGTCAGTGAAGTTTGGAATTCGCCGTGACACCATATTACATTTTCAGGTGATGGGTCTACCATGCTCAACACGTTTTCAAGTAAACTTTGAACAAAACGTGTTTTTCCGCAGGACGTGGGTCCTGCAACGATGCAGGTGAATGGGTGTTTCAGTCGGTAATCCATGTCGAAATGAGACGTTTTCTCAAGGAAATGAACATTTTATTCATACATCAAAGAACTAAAGCGGTCGTTCACAAACTCAGACACTGCATGATCGTTCAAATTTTTACAAACGGGGTCAAACCATGAAACGATCGTAGACATCGGAACACCACGACATCTATGAAATAGAAAGAATAGGCAAAAGTAACCGCACGTAATCGAGTGTAAGCTCTGGAGTACCTACACTAACATACTTTAACTTCTGGAATGTCTTCTTAAGAAACCTAAAAAACCATACACCCCCGGATCCAAACCGAACGAATCGAAGAATTCGGCGTTTCCGTCTTTGTCAAAATACACGGAAATCCAGTGTATACCAGGGCCTGATTGCTTGTCGGTATTAAAAATATGAGCACTAGGGTAACGAATTCGACTGGGCAAGAAATCTGAAGCCCCAAGCCCTTGGAACACCGTTCTCTTCGTCCGATCGGCAGCCATGATTCTCGTGATGTGCCTCCCTTCCATTTTTCCACCTACTGGCAAAAATCGTAAATAACGTTTCGGGATTTATCAATTTCGATGAGGTTCTGAAACTCGGCAAGGATGACGACGGCGATCGTTTCCGGGAGCGCCTTGGCGAAGTGGAGTTCCAGACGAAGATTTCCCTTTTTCAGTTGAGAAAAATATTCCCAGTCGCATTAGTCGGGGGTCAAGTCGAAAGCAATGAGCGTATACCATTCCTGTACTCTCTTCGGTCGATGAAATTTCATTCATCCACAGCAGTCTTCCCGAGAGCTTGGAAGATACTGTTGTGTGCTTGAATGTAACGTCCTCTCTTGAAGTCTAGAGTGAGAGGCTTGTGAGGAACCGATTTTCCTTCGATGTAGACACCAAGAAAATTCAAGTCGTAATGATGAAAGTTGTATGGATTCTTTGTCACATTTCCGTTGAAGGCTGAGTCATTGACCATCCCGATCACGATCCGTTTGGGCATTTGTCCTTAATAGACGTTATCTTGGAAAAACATGTTTTCCACGTGGTATGGTGAGGACCTTGCATACCGCACGTTGAACGGGATACTTGGCGTTTCCCCGCAGCAGTGCTTCTTCGTGAGCGAGCTGTACGGAAACAGAAGGTTTCTCTTTGCGAATCAAGAGCTTTGCTTCCTCGATTTCGATTACGTATTTGTCTTCGGATGCCATGATGTAAAATTCAGACTTGCTATGATGAAGCTTGATTTTACAGTCGACTTGGTTCAGAATGAGTTTAGGTTGCATAAAAATATCACAATGTAGCCTTCCCATCATTTCGACGATCTCGTTTTGAAGAATCACTGCTCGTCTTTCTCGCACTCCTTCGTTGTCCAAGCTGTTCATTTTAGCCGCTTCATCCACGTAAAAGAGCTTCGACGTCAACTTGGATTGCTTTGCATCCACTCCGTAATTTAAAACCGTCTCGATGTAGGATCGATAAGGGTAGGTATTGTTCGATGACGAAATAATCTTCTCGTTCAAACTGACTTCAACCTCGGAAATAGAGAATGGAGGAGCAAGTTAACGGGTCCGACTTGATCTGCGTCGACGATCGGTGTGTTATCCGTTTTCCTTAGTTTGGCAGCCACGACCAAGTAGGATTGCGCAAGGTCCAAATGATAATCTGAATTCCCGGAAATATGGAACTGAATTGGCGAATTCGCAGTGATGTGTGTGACTGGGTGATTATCTTAATGGATTTGGTTTTATGTGTTTGCCCCAGTTGGTTACAGGGTTGTCCCATCCCTAAACTGATAACATTTCATTATTCTTTACTTTATACTGAGTATTAGGCCAAATCAGGTATTTTTCCTTAATTCCTTATAATATCGTCAGTAATTAAGTTATCAAATCAGCTTGAAATAATCAAAACACTTTCCTTTAATATGCAGTATTAGGATTAACAATATACCACCTGCAAGCCAATTTCTCAAAGGTTATAAAAAAATTAACATTATTTTATTTCCTTTTGACAGACCGTTAGGAAGGGAAGAGAAAGGTGGGGAAAATATTAGAGTAGAAAAGGATGAGATTCCTGCAACTCTCTTTTCAACACCTCAGGAGGAGTAAACAGTATATTTCCTCCTTCTCTTCTTTTGTAAAAGGGCGGAAGACCCCGTTCTTCACAATAACATCATAATGATGCTCACCATCCTCGCCCTCTCGTCTCCAGAGATAAATCTTTATCTCTCTCTCGGGACCGCGATAAGAAATCTTGTTCCCATCATTGATGATATTTATTTGGATTCTTAAATGGTCCTCAAACTGCCGAGCCTCCATGATTCCGCATTTTCCGAGNTGATAAAACAGATTCTGTAGAATGAGAATCACGGACGAGTTCTTGTGGTGGCTTCCTTTATTGAACAGGTTCGTCATTTCCTTATCGTTCTTGATGTCAGTCATGAGATCGTCTATTATGAGCAAGTTTCTTTTCTGAGGGTCGATCGCATCCAGTCTGAGTCCTTCTACGAGTTTTACACTAGGAGGAAGTTTTGTCAGTGAAATTTGGAATTCGCCGTGACACCATATTACATTTTCAGGT